GGAGGAGGAAGAGGAGGAGGAAGGGGAGGGGGAGGAGTAGGAAGCACCGCTGAAGGCGGACTGAAGGTAAACGGTCTTGTGAAAGAGTCTGTTGCTGAGGAAAACCACCAAGGAGAATGAAAGGGAAGAGGCAGTCAGGTCCCGCCGCCGGGAACGCCTCCGCGGGGTTTGGGAGGCACAGGCGGAGGATGAAGGGCTGGAGGAGGATCAGCGGGCTGGGAATGTGGAATACTCACTAGGTTTTGCCGGGGGTCCTGGCTTCATTGGCGCTGATGATGAAGAGAGGGAAGAGGATGGAAAAGAGACAACCGCTGCAAAGGAAAAACATAGTAACATAAAATAAGGGGCACTGGGGGGGTCTGGTGGGGTCCAGGGTAGCAGGAGAGGCCGGAGCGTCTTTCCCACCTGATGATGTAGGAGGACTGCATGGCGGTGAGGAAAGCCAGCGGTAAGCCGAAGCCGAAGTAGTAGGGCCAATTCCGCTCGATGTTGGACAACCGTTGGTGCATCTCGATTCCTGCCGAGGGGAGAATGAACCCACGGGAGGAGAGACCTCACTACAGAGCCACAGAGTCACTGGGGCTGGAAACCACCTCTAAGGTCACAGGGTCCAACCTGGGACTGATCTCCACCTTATCAGCTAGACCAGAGCACTACATGCCATGTCCAGTTGTTTTGGAGCACTAAGTGTCGTGTCGAGTTGTTTCTTGGACACCTCCAGGGTTGGTGACTCCACCACCTCCCTGGGCAGCCCCCTCCAATGCCTGACAGCCCTTTCCATGAAGAAATTCCTCCTGAAGTCCAACCTGAACCTCCCCTGGCATAACCTAAGGCTGTTTCCTCTTGTCCTGTTGTCCCCTGTGAGCACAGCCTGACCCCCACCTGGCTGCATCTCCTGCCTGGGAGTTGTGGAGAGCGTAAGTTCCTCCTGAGCTTCCTTTACTCCAGGCTGAGCTGCCCCAGCTCCCTCAGAAGTTCTCTGCCCCCTTCTCCTTGTGCTCCAGCCCCTTCCCCAACTCCACTCCCTTCCCTGGACACACTCCAGCCCCTCAATGTCTCTCTCTCTCAGTGAGCTGCCCCCATGACTGGAGCTGCCTCAGCAGTGCTCAAATCACTGCCCTGATCCTGCAGACACACACCATGGCTGGTACAAGCAGCTGCCATTGGCCTTCTTGCCCACCTGGGCACACTGCTGGCTCATATTTATCCTTCATTCCATACAAAACCAACCTCTGACACCCCAGCTGGACACTCCCTGAGCAGAGAACCCCTGAATGCAGGCAGGTTCCTGGCGGGGAGCCCTCCCTGACCTTTGTTAAACCAGCGGTACTCGAAGCAGTAGAGCGAGTAGAGCAGTGACATGTGCAGGAGGCTGACGAGCTGCCCGACCAGGTCGATGGGAAACAGGCTCACAATCATTCCCTGGGATGGAAAAGGAGAGTCAGGGTGGTCTGGATTCGTGCCTGGGAGCCACTGGGGCTGGTGCACAGTGGTTTCCCACCTGGATGAGGAACAGCGCCTGCAGCAGGAGGTTGAACAGCATGTCAGCGATGATCTTGCTGACGCTAGGAAAGGGATGAGGTTTCCTCCCCGACACCTCGAACGCCAGATCCGCAATGTCCTGCCATGGCAGAGAGTCTTGAGGGAGTGGAACTCAACAGCAACAGGAACTTCAGGGAATTTAAACCCAGGACGATGATACTGAGCTGCTTCCACCCACCAGGAATACAGTCAGAGCCCATTTGGGGAAGGGGTTTCATCTCATGCCACCACACCCTCTGATGGAGGAAACTGCCCCATCTGGAGCACTGTCCCAGGTTGCCCAGGGAGGCTGTGGCTGCCCCAACCCTGGCAGTGTTCACAGCCAGGTTGGCTAAAGCCTTGAGCAACCTGCTCTGGTGGGAGGTGTCCCTGCCCAGGGCAGGGGTTGGGGCTGGATGATCTCTAAGCTCCATTCCAACCCCTTAACACACTGACACTATGATCTGCTGGAGGCAGGGTCTGGGTTCCTGTCACCTACCTGGAACCAGATGGCATTGACAACCTTACTGAGCACAAAGAGTGGCAGGACCCAGAGAGCACTGAAAATGGAGGTGAGGATGAACTCCAGCCAGGACCAGACATCACCATGTAAAGAAGGGTCACCTTCAAAGGCAGACAGGGAGACACACCTGAGAAACTGCTGTAGGAACCTCCAAATGCTTCCTGGCACAGCCATCTCCTGTCTGTAGTGCTTTGAAAGCACATTTCCACCCACTTGCTTTGTATTTCCTTGCACAAATACACCCACAAATGCGTTTTGAGTGGTAAAACCCCCAGGCTAGATCCCCAGTACACACAGGCTGTCAGCAGGGATATCCATCCTTGCTTTTCTACTGAACAGCTAATGATGGGATTGATTGGTACAGGGAGGAAGAGGAAAACAACACAAGGAGACAGTGGTGTGAGGAACAGTTCAATGGGACCCCCCAAACTCATCCCAGGATTGCTCAGGACCTCAAAGCACCCAAGGGGAAAGGCACCCACCAATGATCTGTGCCGTGACTGACTGCAGGACAGGGATGAACACTCGGTAGAACAAGAAGAGACTAAGCTGCAGGGAAGAACAAACAACAGAGGTTCTCAGAGAGGCACCGCATGGTCACTTCTGTGCTCCTGTGCCTATGGATCCAAAGGCAGGTCTGCTTCCCTCCCCCAGTGACCCATAAATACAGAGGAACAAGGATCTCTACTTAAATACAGCCACAATCTACAGCTGAGCACTTGAATATTTCCATGCCATGGGGGTAATGGGAAAACAAAGCAGGTGATTTATGAGGCTGTAAAGTGTCAGCCCCATTAGGATCAGCCTCACAACACAGCCTTGGGAAGGTCAGAGCTGAGGAAATGTCTTTAAGACATCAATATCTGATTGGTACAGCAATATCCCAGGCTGCAGCAGAGCAGGAGATGAATATTGGGGCAGAGAGCAGTCTCAAAGACCTGGAAAAGCAGCTCAGGGTGGATGTGAATCTACAGTCCTACATCCCATAGTGAATCCCTTAAAATCCAGCACTGGGATGGGAATGTGGTTCCCAGCAGTTTCTGCTGCCATGCTGATAACTCTCCACTCACAGCATATGAGGGGTGGAGCAGGCTATGGGTAAAACAAATAAGGAAATCTGCACATACCCAGAAGACACCTCCGTTCCAGGCACAGCACTGAAATATCCGGCTCACTATCCGGGGTTCACTGCAGGAGAGACACCTGTCACTGTCCCAGCATCTCACCACTGCCAGCTGCTCCTGCCCCAGACTTTGGACACCTTGGAAATGGTACTGAGAACCAGCTCCATGCCAGTCATGCAACTGGTTTTATTCCAGCATGGGAATCCTGGGAGAAACCCCTGTGCAGACTCACACCAAGTCTCCACCAGCACAGCCCCTACAAGACTTACATCAGGGACACTCTTCCAACCTTTATTAATTCCCACAATCTGCACTGAATGGAAGAAGAGCAAAGTTTTCTTTCAGATCCTGAAGCATTTATTGAAGATCTCAAGCTCTGTTCTCCCCAAACTCTCACCACAATAAAATTAAGGCTTTTGAAGTGTATTTTTGGTCTCAGGAGAGGCTGTTTCAGCTCAAGGGTTTGCTGTCCCTATCTGGATGTGCCAGAGCAGCTCTGTGGGGCTCTCAGCACTTTTCCAGTCAGCTCCTGCTATCAAAGGGACTTTGCTACAAAGAAAACCAGCAAAATACAGCTGTTTAGTGCCCCTCAAATATATGTATAATAATATAATATGTATTATTCCCAAGGGGCAGCCCAGGTGTTAAGCTGCAGGAATCCTCAGGGAGGACTGGGATCACAGGAGCCTTTTCTTCCACCTTTAAAACACCCAGCTGGGTAAATGTGTCCAAAAGGTGTATTTCTGACCCAAGCCCTGTGTGAGGTGCCAGCCTGGAGTAATCAGGGCAGCAGGGACACAGCTCTGGTTTGGGAGCCAAACATGGGAACAGATACTGTTTGCTCCCATGTGGGGATAGTTCTGGCATTTCCTGAACCACTGAGCTCCTGCAGAACTGGGCAATGGGACACTCCATCTGGCCCAACCAGTGAATCAGATCTGAGCTGCAGTTTCTGCAACTACCACAAAAATGGATCTCTGAGACAGCACAGGGATTCAGGAGGAACAGAAACCCATAAACCCACATTCTTTCAGCTCGTATAGCTCCATCCCTTCCTGTGTTAATTCAGACTAATTATCAAACATAAAAGGTCTGACTTATCTCATGGGAACAGCTCCAGCTCCATTACGCAGTGGAAAAAGGGAATTTCATGCCATGTTTTCCCCATTTCTTGGCTCTGACTACCCATTTCTTGGCTCTGACTGCCAGAGGAGAAGGGAATTTCCCCATTTCTGCCCCACCAGGGCCCACACTCACTTCTCTTGCTTCTTCTCTTCCATGTGAAACCTCCGCTGGGCGAGTGCGCTGTTGGCTCTCCTCCGCCTCTGCTCTTCCCTTTTCTGCTGGATCCTGGCATCCAGCTTGGAGATGGTGCAGATGCCCCAGATGGAGTCCTTAATTCCCTGTGGATGTGAGGAGAGAGGAGGAATGGGATGTGTCCCACCCAGGCCAGGTTCCATGGCTGGCAGGGAAGCCAAGCCCTGGAGCAGCACCACCACCACCTCTCTTCCATGGCCTGGTGACCTACATCCTTGCACATTCCAGCATCTCCAGAAGCAGTAGTAATTTTTGCTGTACAGGTGTGATTTCTCATCCAATCTGCACTATTTATAACCCTGGCAAAGCCACAAAGTCGGATCTCTCCCAGCCCTGCCTGGCAGGAAGTCCCTCAGCCCCTGCCAGAACTCTGAAGCCAAGAAAATGGAATGACACCAATATTTGGGATGTGCAAAGTCTGACTGAATGTAGGAGTTTGATGCTTATTCCTTCACAAATAAAAGCATCTGTCCTTCTCCCAGAAACATCCTCCCACCACCCACATCCATGCAAACCTGAACAGGCACTGCCCAGAAGTTTTCCCTTACTCCATGTTGGAAAGATTTGCAGCACCACCTCCTAGGACTCAGGCTGTCCTGAGAAGCTGGGGCTGCCTCATCCCTGGGAGTGTTCCAGGCCAAGTTGGATGTAGCTTGGAGCAACCTGGGCTAGTGGAAAGGTGTCCCTGCCCATGGCAGGGGGTGGAACTGGATGAGCTTTAAGGTCCCTTCCAACCCAAACTGTTCTGGGACTCTCCTCAGTTATTTCCAGCTCCAGACAATCCCATAACCATCATGATCACAACTTCCCTTTGAAACAAACATCACAAGGACAAGAGGACAGTGTCACCACTCTGGTGGCAGTTGGGTATTTGGAGTTCTTGACCAAAGAGGATAAATTTCAATGCCAGCTGCATGCCTGACACAGCAGAGCTGGTCCCTGACCAGGAGAAATTAATCTCCCAGGTGGCTGCTCCCACTGATGGTGTGAGAACAGCAGGACAGGACACAACTCCTGCTTCAGGCTGTGCCTTGGATCAAACCAGTTTTCCAAAACAAGTGATACTGTGCACAAGTTGTTGCTCAGTGTCACAGCGCGAGTGGCTTTAAGCCTGTATTTACCCCTGGATGATACAAGACTGTGGGAGGAGTGAGTTCATACAAACCTCACCATGTCTAATAGCAACAACAACCACCAATAGTTGTTATTAACGTCTTATATATGTAGAGATATAATGTATAACATATAACAATGCAATAACATCCATTATAGGGTATATATTATATAATATACGTAATATTATAGATCACACAGATATATCTAACTATATATAGCATTATGTATTATGTAAGTTATATATAGATACAATATGTATATGATATATAATATTACAGGTTGGACTCTATCTCAGAGTTCTTTCCCAATCTTCATGACTTTGTGATAGTTAAATATAACATATTAACCAGATTTCATCTTTCATATATCATTGTACATTGTTATTATTACTGTTAAAATTCTTATTCCACATGACTTTGTGCCCACAGGAAATCTGTCAGGGGTTGAGCAGCAAACACTGAGCCCTTTGCAGCACACAGAGACCCTTTTCCTGCACACTCCCGGTGCCCTGGGAAGGAGCTGCTCTCGGGAAGGACCAGGAGCCTGACTCACCCTGACGAGGTCGTGCAGGAAGGTTCTCACGCTGTCTGCCATCTCGATCCAGCATCACCTCTGCCTCCAAACTATCAACTACAGGGACAGGGGGAGGGCCGGGCCCAGGCCTCTCTCATCCTGAGGGATGGGCAACGGGTGGAGCCTGCGGGGAATGCACAGCGCCAGTGACACGGGCGATTCCGACAGCATTCCCAGCCCTCGGCTCCCCATCGGCACAGCCATCCCCACACGGAGCAGGGAACAGACCCATCCTGTTCACTTCAGGGTGTGGGAACAGCCCTGCAAACCACCAGAGAGGTACAGGCAGTGTCTGAGCTAAGGAAAAATAAATCACCCGCGGAGGAATCCCACCAGGACCCGAACCACCCGTCCTGCCCGGGGAGGAGCTCCAGCAGCTCTGGAGCAGGTTGGAGGCACAAACCACAGCCTGTGCGTGGTGCTGCTGCACGGCAGG